TGCCCTGCGAAACATCCCTGCAAGTCCCTCTTGCCATCTCTGTGGCTGGAACTGGCCGCCTTCCTTCTGCACATCTCGTGCGATAGTTTGAACATTGACCCCAAGAGCACCAGGCACTGCCCAAAGCGAGGCGTCAAGGAACTTCTGGCGCGCTGGGGGCCAGCCACATCAACGACGGCGTCCTGCCGGCTGAGGTGTCGAGACCCCGCCACTGAGGCAGAATGTGGTGGCCTGGCCAGGCATGGGCTCGCCTGCATTTCGCAAGCTTTGCGAGCTCTCTATGGGAGGGCTAGGCACCAAGGACGACAGCACCCTGGTCCCAGGCTTGAGCCATGATAAGCACTCAACAGACAGAACTGAGCAACTGCGGGGCCAGGCACCAGTTGAGTAGGCTTCCAGGATAAATACACGCCAACTGCAGCAAAACTGGAAACTGAATGATGGTTTCTACGTAGGTTCACATCGCAACTAGACTAACATTCAGTTGCACAGAGGTGGCATGCAGCCACAGTCAGAGCTGGCATCAGCCTGCACTTTGATTGCTCGCTTCGGAGGGAGAAACTCGCGTATTGCGTCGACTGCTGATACGAGGTTTTTGTTCACCCACCAGAGCCATCTAATATCGGCAACGGCCGCGAAACAGCGGCATGTTGCTTCAACAGCAGCGCTGCATGTTGCAGAAGCCGCGCGTGGCACTGAGTTACAGGGAGGAGTCAAGTCAACTTTCTGAATCTGTGCCTGCCTTTTCATATCATCTACTTGCCGTTGTGTCAATGCTCTCGATAAGAAAGACTTGGAACAAATGACATCACAGTCCGGGCAAAGGCAATGTGATCCCGCAGCAGGACATCAGGATGCAGATGCCGAGCAGGAGGGAGACGGAGGATGCGCTGGTCGAAATCAGCTTCAGTCTCGGGGACTTACGGAAGAAGAGGCTCAGCACGGTCGTGTAGCATCCCATGGAGAACAAAGTGCCGAAGACCACCCCTAGGACGTGCACCACAGCAGAAAAGCGCGGCAGGGAGAAGGCTGGAAGAATGAAAATGATTGCATCCAGCGAGAGACCGTGCACCACACCTGTTGCATATGTTGCCCACCCATAGTTCTGGTCCCCTGCAGCTTCCTCTGCGGCGTCATAGCCCCTGGCTTCTTTGAAGCCCAGCAGCCCGATGGCTATCAGCGACGCGCCCACTAGCAAGCCACTGGTCTGCTCAAGAACCTGAGCCACGTGCATCTGCAACAGGCCCATCTTCACGGCAAGGCAGCCGATTCCGATGATCAGCTGCCCAGTGGCATGTCCAGATCCCCAAAGGGCCCCAAGGCCAAAGGCGGCGAAGATCGACCGACCCTTGCCGATCACCAATGGCGCCAACGCTGCTAAGTGGTCAGGCCCTGCCACCGTGTGTAGACCACCTACTGCCAGCCCGATGACCAATGCAACTGCAGGCGACTTTGCAGTCATCGGATGTGCGAACAGCTTGTGCATCGCCCCCTCGACGAAGCTGGTGACATAGAGCAACGACACCAAGATCAAAACTACGCTCGTGCCAGCTTTCAGCAAGCGACGGGCTTTCCTCATACCCGTCCGATCACTCTGCACCGTGGTGGCACCTGACTGCGCTTCACCTCCGGCTTTGCGCCTCCTGCGCTGCTTGAACACCTCAGCGCAGGAATGCCCTGCGAAACATCCCTGCAAGTCCCTCTTGCCATCTCTGTGGCTGGAACTGGCCGCCTTCCTTCTGCACATCTCGTGCGATAGTTTGAACATTGACCCCAAGAGCACCAGGCACTGCCCAAAGCGAGGCGTCAAGGAACTTCTGGCGCGCTGGGGGCCAGCCACATCAACGACGGCGTCCTGCCGGCTGAGGTGTCGAGACCCCGCCACTGAGGCAGAATGTGGTGGCCTGGCCAGGCATGGGCTCGCCTGCATTTCGCAAGCTTTGCGAGCTCTCTATGGGAGGGCTAGGCACCAAGGACGACAGCACCCTGGTCCCAGGCTTGAGCCCTGCAGCCGCAGAACAACATGAGCAGTCTGTTTTGAGAAGCCGCATCTCTGCTCAATCAAACATTGGCACTGTTGCACAACAGAGGTGGAGGGAGGTATGCTCCACATTCTCAGTTCCAGGGTTTTCTTGTAGATGGAGTGTAGTCGGACATGGAGCTACAATAAGGGAGCAAGCTGAAGAACTGCTGTGGGAAACCACAGCTAAAGAGAGTGCAGATCCACAGACTGACTTCCTAACTCGCGGCTTACGCAGGCTTCGACCAAAGTCGGCTGGTCAGCATCAACAGCCTCATAAACCCGATCCAATGACTCACGCAGCTCAGCCATGGACGTTCTGCAACATGCTGCTGGCAGTTTGGGCATGCAGAAGTGCAAGATCTTTTTCTTCTCGGAGAATCTCGATTGCACGTCTACAAGCTACGTCTTCAAACACAGCGCCGGATTTGTTTCAGATTGTTTCAGCCATGGTAATACAAGTGGCAACTCACACACAAGCAGCGAGATGCTGCGCTGGAGGCATCTGCAAATCGACATCACTGCTCTACATTAAAGTCCGGGCAAAGGCAATGTGATCCCGCAGCAGGACATCAGGATGCAGATGCCGAGCAGGAGGGAGACGGAGGATGCGCTGGTCGAAATCAGCTTCAGTCTCGGGGACTTACGGAAGAAGAGGCTCAGCACGGTCGTGTAGCATCCCATGGAGAACAAAGTGCCAAAGACCACCCCTAGGACGTGCACCACAGCAGAAAAGCGCGGCAGGGAGAAGGCTGGAAGAATGAAAATGATTGCATCCAGCGAGAGACCGTGCACCACACCTGTTGCATATGTTGCCCACCCATAGTTCTGGTCCCCTGCAGCTTCCTCTGCGGCGTCATAGTCCCTGGCTTCTTTGAAGCCCAGCAGCCCGATGGCTATCAGCGACGCGCCCACTAGCAAGCCACTGGTCTGCTCAAGAACCTGAGCCACGTGCATCTGCAACAGGCCCATCTTCACGGCAAGGCAGCCGATTCCGATGATCAGCTGCCCAGTGGCATGTCCAGATCCCCAAAGGGCCCCAAGGCCAAAGGCGGCGAAGATCGACCGACCCTTGCCGATCACCAATGGCGCCAACGCTGCTAAGTGGTCAGGCCCTGCCACCGTGTGTAGACCACCTACTGCCAGCCCGATGACCAATGCAACTGCAGGCGACTTTGCAGTCATCGGATGTGCGAACAGCTTGTGCATCGCCCCCTCGACGAAGCTGGTGACATAGAGCAACGACACCAAGATCAAAACTACGCTCGTGCCAGCTTTCAGCAAGCGACGGGCTTTCCTCATACCCGTCCGATCACTCTGCACCGTGGTGGCACCTGACTGCGCTTCACCTCCGGCTTTGCGCCTCCTGCGCTGCTTGAACACCTCAGCGCAGGAATGCCCTGCGAAACATCCCTGCAAGTCCCTCTTGCCATCTCTGTGGCTGGAACTGGCCGCCTTCCTTCTGCACATCTCGTGCGATAGTTTGAACATTGACCCCAAGAGCACCAGGCACTGCCCAAAGCGAGGCGTCAAGGAACTTCTGGCGCGCTGGGGGCCAGCCACATCAACGACGGCGTCCTGCCGGCTGAGGTGTCGAGACCCCGCCACTGAGGCAGAATGTGGTGGCCTGGCCAGGCATGGGCTCGCCTGCATTTCGCAAGCTTCGAGAAGAAGTCACAGCGGGCATGCGAGGCTGATCCGCTCTCGAGCCCTCGAAAACGGCGGCAATGCATGTGAAGTTGAGTGCTCCTGCATTGGAACAGGTTCAAGTCCTTCTTGGGTCCAGTGTTACGGCATGCTGCAATTCACAGATCAAGCTGCAGCAAGCCAGCAATGACATGTGCAGGTGAGCCACCCTTTTGACTGTTGCCGCTGGCAAGTGCTGCTTGATGTGATGAAGTTCGGCCATTCGCACAATGCTACTGGATGCAACATATCGACATTTCATTGCCATATTATGCCTCCAGTGTTCACTACGCTACGGTTCAGAGGGGGCAGTGAGGAGCTCGAAGGTGGCAGCACCATCTTCTGGCTGGTCTTTGGGGACCTGAGCAGGACGGGCAGATTTGTGCTTCGGCATCAATCGACGCAGCTGACTCGGGAACAAGCCTAAAAGTTCAACGCTCAACAGAAAAAAATAACACTGAAAGACTTCGCGACTTTAGCAGACGAGACGCTTGGTCCAACACGGTTGCAAACATAGCCGTTAACATCTCTGTGTCGACCTCGAAAACCGGCGAGTGAAGGGGGACACTGCGGAACACGGACGTGCTTTCGGGCACACGGTTTGTGAGGCAACACTGGGCTCATGCCGCCTGGGGCCTGGACGCAGAGATCTAGCTTCCCGCCAACCCCAAGCGAGGGCATGCCATTCACCTCCCGTGCGCTTTTCAGAGGCTAAAAACGATCCTGAGCTTTTAGGCAAAACAATGAGCTTAAAAGCCATCTCGGTGATCCAGGCTCATCGGCAGCGGCACCTCGCAGAGCCACGGCCGAAGCTGCTCCTCAGCCCGAGCACTGGGCCGCGTCGCGGCGTCGCGGCTGGGAGGGTTTTGCCGTCTTTGCGCTTTGGTTTGGTGTGACATTCAGTGCAGGGTTGTTTCGGTGTCCAACTCCCTTCAGATTGCATGCTTCGCTGGAGGCTCAAATCCAATGGAGCGGAGGGTCCTGCGCCCCAGTGCGTCATTTGGACACGCAAAAAGGCACGGCTCACGTTGTTTTCTTAAGTGGCATGAAGGGTCTAAATGTCTTGCAGCTACTGATCCTAATCCACTCTGGACTGCTGGAGCTGTCGGCCCAGTCCAGAATCGGGAGACAGAAGATGTCTCGCAAAAGCTGGAGGGTCAAATGCCGGCGCCAAGCAGACACCAAAGCTTGGGAAGTGTACCCCAGAATACACAATTGAGGGACAGACTCGTTGCTGGGTTCAGCATTCGAGTGTGCAGGCACACAAACGCCGCCTCACTGCCTTATGGTGATTGCCATTGCGCAACTGCTATCGCCTGTCGCTCCGTGAGGGCGGCTGGGGGACACGGCTGCGGCTCAGCCACAGTCAATGCTGACGGTGATCACAATGCTGCCTGCCCCTGCCCCGGTATCGGTCTACTTGCCCGGGCGCGCCAAGCCGCTGGAGCATGAGGGGATCAGGGTCACGAAACACTGAAGCAGCGCACTGAACAACGTTAACGGCGACACACGCAGGCCGCACAAGCTCCACCCAGCACAGCGGACGATGCGCGGCGGGGGCAAAGGCAAGCTGAGAAAGCTAAGGGTTTTGTATCCAATTCACACGACCCTTCGAGCCTTGTGTAGCATTTTGCCAGTTTTGCTTGGGAGGCGGGGACCCCTAAGTGGGAAACCACGCCCTACACCTTCCGTCGTCTCTTCAGTCTTGAGGATGAAAAGGTAGCTTGAAATGAAAAGTGTTGAAAAGTCCTCCGACCTTGCTGCATTGGCATAGTCATCAAGTAACCAGTCAGTCACACGCAGCTGAGTGTCATCCAGCAGCACGTCGAACCCGAACAGCCTCGCAGCTGAGGAACAGCGGAACAAAGCTGAGAGCTGACGGAGGAGAAATCTGATGTCGGCCCAGTGACTCGAAGCACTGGCCATGGGCCTTCGGCTGCTGTGCCGTGGCACGCAGGATCGAGGGCCTTCTCTGTAACACAAGTCCACTTCATGAGACTTTGTGCTATTTTGTGCCCGAGTTGCCTTGCAGCAACTAGAACGTCCCAGGCCAACGCACGGATGCGATGCCAGACTTCCTCGAGACAGCTCCCCTAAATGAAACGATGTGCACAGTAGCAGATGGCCGGAACCAAAAAGTCTCCGCAACGAATAAATGAGCCGCGAGTCCGAGGAATCTGGCCTCCATGGCTCTGGGTGGGCACCTTCCAAAGAAATGCTGCAAGCCTCAAAAGACATCTGGTGCACACTTGTCTCCAAGCGTCGAAGCCAGGCGAAAAGGTCCGACAGCCGCCAATTTCCAAGACATGGCCCATGTGCATGTCTCCTTTGTGGAGGATGCAGGAAAGAAGAACAGGAAACGAATTCCCGCAAGCTTGCGGACATGCCAGCTCAGTCCAGGAACGCATTCACCTGCACAGTCAGGCAGGGCAGGTCAGGTGCGTGGCCGGAAGATGCTTTTACGAACAACATCTGGCATCACACCCTGCATTCTGCAAGTATCACAGCCGGATCCACCACCATCCCCAAATCAAGACCTCGAATTGTCGTCCCGGGCCTCGTTGTTGGTAAGGTGAATGCAGGAATTGCCAAGGGATTCGCAAGACATGGCAAATGGCTCGCTGGCAAACCGAACAAGACCCTCAGAGAAGATATATGCCTCAGATCAGCTACATGTCCAAAAGCTTTGACTCATTGACACGGAGGTGATTGCGACATGTCGCTGTGAGATCGCCAGAGCCAGCTGCTCTGTCAGCCGCGTGGCACTCCTCGCCGGTGCTTGCGGCGCATTGTGCTGACAGCGATTGATTTGTCGTGTCGATGCAACATCGCCTGGTGAGACGCAGTACTCCCGAACGATGTCACAAGCCTAAGTTAGCATCGACTCTGCAGGGGAGGATTTGCTGCTTGGCTCCTGGATTTCATCTCCCATTTACACCGTGGTCCAAGTAAGCTTCTCGAATGGTCTGACGATGCCTTACGCGCAGCACTGAAAACACAGCGGACATGTACATGTACAGATGCGTATACATGCACGTACATACGTATGCTACACTTGTTTGGTCTGTGTGCACACAGCCAGAGAACTGCTGTTTAGCACCGGCAAGCAAACACACAGAGACACGCCAACAGCCTCACATCGGAACATTCATATACATAGATGTCTGTATATCTAGACAGGAAATTGCAGAACCATCTTCATCAAGGTAAATGTTATGCACACACGGACACACGCACACACACACATACACTTGACACTTTTTTGTCACTCGTGCTCGACAAGTCAGACGAGGTTTGCGAAGCATCACAGAACAAATCACAGAACAAGCATGTTCACATTGGAACATGCAGAAGACTACAATACCCAATTCGGCGACTCCAAATGTAACAACTAAGTACTACATCATAGCTCCAGCAGCAGACAAAGCTGTATAGACTGCCAGATTTCGAAAACCTGCCCACGTCCACACACTACTGCACATCTTCAAAGAACAGCGCCGCACGTACAGCCTGGCACAATCGTCTGCTTCACAAAACGCCGCAGGATGAGGTCCCAGCTTTTCTCATTTCTCCATGAAACCGTCTGTGGGGGAAAGCCATGCACATCCATCCCCGGACACACAGCTAGACTCTCGTCCTCCAGTGGGGTCTCGTGTTTACGCGCGCTCGACAATGCTCGACACTTACACATGTCGCCGGGTCTCACGCCACTGTGCACAATCACTTATTATTGCGAGTTTTGGCTAGCCCCATCGCTCTGCGTTAATGATCACTGACTCGAGCATTATGGAGCATCGTTCCGATTAAATTTAGGGTATGCGGGATGGCCGATGCAGCCACGTGCAGAAGGTGTCCCTTCCGCGTATCACAAAATGCTTCAGCCGTCTTCGTTGGCAGCAGGACTGAAGCAGGACTGAAGCATTGCCTGCTGCCCCCTACTGAAGTCTTTGCAGTGATCTTCCACCATTACAACAATGTGCTGATAACTCTTCAGCGATCAAATGACATGCGCCGAACAACATCCTGTCCCTTCAGAATACAGGTGTGCACACACATGCCGATAAAGGGCTTTCTGGTACACATGAATTGTCATGCCTGTCCTCTGAACAAATAGTCAAGCACAGCACTGTTTGCATGTTCTACCTCGTTGTCGCCCCTGCCCCTGCCCTCTCCTGCCCGCTGCCCCTGCCCGTCCTCCTGCCCCTGGCCGCCCTGTCCTCTGCCCTGGTTGCAACTTGACATTTTTGCGCTTTAGCAGTTTCAAAACCCGTCTTGCAACTTCTGCCTGCTCGTCTGCCCCTGCCTGCCCCTGCAACTGCGCCCTGCCATCTGCCCGCTTCACTGCCCGCCGCCCCTGCCTGCCCCCCGCCCCTGCCCCACCAAAAAAAGGCCATCTTGCAACTGCAACTTCTGCTGGCCGTGCCTTGCTGCCCCACTTTACGCTGCCCTGCCCTGCCTGCCCTGGTTCCCTCTGCCCCCACAATGTCTTCGTGATTCTGAAGAAGTAACAACGAAAAAATTGGATCTCTGTCTTGACATACTGTTTGCGATCATCTGAACAACTTATTGCTTCATCATCCATATGTGCATATGTTGGCAAATATGTCCACCGCGAATATTTGCTATCATCAGCTGCTGACGAACTTCTTCATGCATTGAAGCTGGAGGTCCGAACAAAGGAATGGGGATGGAGGGGGTATTGGTGGAGCTGGAGGTGTAATGAGGTGTAATGACAACAAGTTGGGAAGGTGTGGTGGGTTCTCGTGGGGGTCGACACACCTTTGGTGATGGTGGTGGCATCATGCTCAACGGGATGGCATTGAAACTTGTTGTGTTGGTATTGATTGTGCACTGTTCAATCTGAGGAACCTTTCGAACGAACAACATTGGTGCTGCCATCAAAGTTCATGACGGGACGGCCTGTACGGCTGGCAGGCCTATCGTTTTGGCATGCCTGCTCACGCAATAATGCCGTTGCTGACAACCTGACGTCTGGCCAATCGAATCTGGATGTCGTTCATGTCGCGGCTCTGGGAACACACTGTCCTCATCTTCATAATGGTAATCTTTCCCCGTTTTTCTGTGTCATTCCTCTGAGTGAAGTGCTCGTGACCTACGCAATCAGAGTTGAATATAGAAAACGTCACGCAAGAAAGCCTGATGCGGCGTAGATCGCGGAACTGGGCGATGGGACATCATAACGACCCTGAAGCGCAAGAGGAGATCTCGGAAGCCGACACGTAATCGCAGCTGGACACTTCTGTGTGCTGTGTCCCACATGGCAACTGTTGCCACAGAAAGCTTGTAAGCAGGCGCTCATGGCTACTTCGGCTCTGATATTCAATTCTCACGAGTTTGCACTGCTGGTCACAAGCTTGGCATGTAGAGAAGCATACGAATAGCTGGTTACAGGTTTGGTAGGCGAAAGCACTGCTGGTCACAAGTTTGATATGTAGAAGACCGTGTAGGCGCTGAAGTATGCAGGATCGCAAGTTGAAAACTGTCCTAACACTCATGATCAGCATTTATGTAGGGGTCCGTTTCGAACTGTCTTCGCACATTCTCTGGCCCCGAGCTGGAGCCTCACGCCTGGCTCTATGACAGATTTCTAGCCAAATCAGACAGATCGAACGACTCTCGATATCGATACAGTTCGGCCAACGTTATCTCTCATCTTCTCTGATCTCATGACTTGCTTTTCCCTTCTCTTGCCTTCACTGTTGGCCAGTCTGAACCAACAGTTGTTGAGGACATTTTCGCCTGGCCTGTTGCAGGTTAACCAAGCTTATCAGGAGTGGTTCCGCTCTCTGATGCATAGCTTCGTTGGGTAGGGTAACATCCGAGAGCCGTAGTCGCCCGCTGCATGCACACTCTGCTTCGCTTTTTGGACCCTTGGCGACAGGGTTTCGCGCGCACACACACAAACAAACACACGCGTGCTCGAATACACGCAGATGCTATCATATGGCTGTGCGCATCTGCGGTCGAGAAGCACATACAGTCGCAGGTCGCACTTCTTCCCATCTATCAGCAAGGGTTTTTCGACCTGATGGATGCACAAGAGATTCGGCGGAAGCTTGTTAGTATCCGACTTAAATCAAGCCACACAAGAGCTGGACCAGATTCTGAGCATGCGGCGTACTGGCTGACCACCACAGGTGTTTTGGCCGAACTTGAACTCTTAACCAAGGCAATTGCCTGCTGAATGTGGGCTGCACTTTGACAGCTGAGAACCTCAAGTCTCCAGCGCAGGGCAGAGGACTTCCTGCTTGCACATTGTACTACTTCGTACACCTTGGATGCGTGCTTGAACTCCTCGGCCTCCTCCTCCTCGCCCCGGCTTCATGATCCAGTGTTTGCCGAATACACCGGCATCTGAGCAAAGACAACAGCTGCGTGTGCCGGTCGAAAAAACAACCACCAAAGCCTACAGTAAATGCATCACCACAAGATGGCGAGAGCGATGCGATGCAGGACGGAAGGTTCTCGTCATGGCCATGCATACGTTGGCACGTGCTTGGCCCGCATCAGTCAGGGGAGAACTCGTTGTCGGGAGACCCTTGCATAAATTCCCGCATGGCAACAGTGGCATATTGCCCCGGCCGCAAAGCCAGCTCAACAATCAGCCCTGTCCTGACATCCTCAGTAGTAGTGGCGTCACCGCTCAGCTCGAACATGCCATGGGGTTCCAGTGAACGTCCCTTGATGTGGTCCAGAGCTGATACAACCAATCGGCTGCAAGGTTCTACGTAACCCGTAGTTCGAGCACGGAAAGAAAGCGGCGTCACCACTGCATGCCGATACGTGCCTTCGAGGTATGACTGCTCTGCTTCCGAAGAAGCAGACTGAGGAAAATCGTTGCCTTGGAGCACCTGTGCATAGAGCCGTCTTGTTGGAGGATGAGCGGGATACGTGCATCGATCGCCCGGAACAGGCAAAACGATGTCAGAGAAAGGAATGTCACGTTGCTCCCCAGGGCGAACAACTCGGACTTCTTGCAAGCTGACGTCAGGTCGCATCCCTTTGGCTCTATGCGCTACCGCATTATGTAAACCGACTTCCCGGCTCGCTAAGACAAGATCCCCTGCAAAAACCTCTTGGCCGAATGCTGCCAGTCGAGCTGAAACCACCTGGCAGGGTTTTTAGGGATCTGTCTCTCAAACTTCAGCTTCCTAAAGTGACTGGACAGCCGTAGAACAACGGCTCTAGACTAGAAAGGACAAGTCCAGAAGCCTGGTTCCAAAGCAAAGAAGCAAAGGAGCGTGCGAACAGCAAGCGCTGGCGTCGTGGTAGGGAGCCCAGCGCCCCGCTGTAGTCTGCCGGGCTGATACAGAGATGCTGCAGAATTCGTCGCTCGAGAGCACAGCGGGCAGGAGTCTCAGCCAAAGCTCTCCTGAACTCACCTCGCGCAAAGAACTCCTCGATTTCGCGGTTCCGACCAGCGCGCATGGAGCAGACCAAGAGTTCGCAGGCCGTCTTGTGATGGCCAGATGCTATGGCCTTTCCGATTGCTGGACTGCAAGCAGACGGCCCGAAGCGCTGGGGACCGAAGTAATTCACAAAGCCCACTGTGCGAAGACTTCGGGAAGCCTCCTCAACCAATGTTCTGAATTTGGCTTTGCCTGCAGCGCAGGCGAGACCCTGTGTAGGCTGAGCATCTCGCACAACGATGCAGAAATCGTTTCCACGCATCCGCCCGATGCGGCAATGGACATCCTGCCTCTCCAGGCGGCTGATGTGCACCGCAGGGTCCCACGTGGACAAGGACATGGAGGATGCCAGCCGCTTCTCATCTAACAGTGCCCAGGGCACACTGATGTGTTGGTATGTAACAGCTCGCCGGTCCTTCAGGCCATGGAAGCTGACCTTCCGCGCATCGATTTGCAAGTGCCTGGCCAGCATGGCCACTGCATCCGCTACGTCCCTGTTCTCCTTCGCGAGGACTAGGCGCGCATGCCTCCCAGTGGAAGCTTGAAGCGCTTTGAAGTCTGAAGACATGCTACCTTCTCTGCACGACTCAACGATCTCACCCTCGTGTGAGATCTCCTTCACCACGAAATCCTCATATCGTGCCTTGATGTTGCCAGAAATCCCATCATGACCTCCAAGAAATGCGGTAATCGCAACTGGGTTCTGCGATGCTTTCCTTGCGAAGCCACGCTGAAATATACGGGCAGGTTGCAAAGGCGGGCATGGCACAGTGCGAAACATTCTGAGGCATCTTCCCTTGTACCAACCCACCTTTGACAATAATGCTCATGCTGCTTGGCCCTTGAGGCTTAAGTCCTTGCTTGCACTGGGATTCAGCAGCTATTCCGGAGGAACGTCCACTGCACATGAAGCAAACATTGCGCAAGCCGGGCAACGTAGCATGGACATGTCTATGTCAGCACTTCGGCGGTCCCGGCCTCCGGGCTTCCCCATGTCTTGCAAGCTTTGATGCCAAAGAGCCTCTTCTTGTGGTAACACGAAACTTCGCGGCAAGTACCTGCCAAAGTCAGGAGGAAAAGCCTCACGCCTCCTTGCACGACGCCATGCCTGCTCCGACATCTAGTCAGAGTCTCACATAGCCGATGCTTGTGTGTGAGCTCGACAGATCCTTCGTTTATCTTCGTTTCTGCTAATTCGGGCAGCACATCTACACAAATCTAGAGCACCTTCTTCTATCTGGACGGTGTACCTACTGCAGAGACGCTAAAACTTTTGTCACTGGAAATGCTAGAATTCTGACTGCATCCTTACACAAACAATTCGAACTGCATCCTTACAGAGATAGCACACCCGCAACGACTAAGTCAAAAGTTCAGTCAAGTCTCGAGGAAAATGGTTGATCAGGCAGTGTCCTGCAGCGGATGCTGTGCAATAACGAGTCTAACAAGGAGCAAACAATGCAGTTCTTGACTCCCTGCGGGGTGCCTGCTGTCGTCCAAAGCTTTGGCTCAAAGCAGTTTGCCCAGATAAGGAGGGAGCCTGTGCAGAACGTCCCTAGCGTTGTTTTGACCTGCCCGTTTAACGTCTTTGGTATTGATTGGGATCTTGGTTTTAAAGGATTCTTGTTGTGTATTCCGGTCTTTGCAGGAGCCTATGAGGGATTTGCCACCAGGACCACAGCCAAAGCGTTTCCCGCAGGAGCACGGTCACAAGTCTACCCCGAAACAGTGGCGAGATCTACAGCAACGTCCAAAATACGTCCCCCAAGTGCTGGCGGATCCACAAATAGCCATAACAGTCATCTGAATTACAATAGCAGTGATCGCAAGCGTAACAACGGTAACAACGGTAACAACCAACAATAACAGTAACAATAGCAAGAACGGTAACACTGGCAATAACAGCAACGATAGCAGCGACAGCAACAACAGCAGCAACAGCAATAGTAATAGTAAGCATATCCCGAGCAACAACCAAGCCGCTTCCTGCAGCCATAACGACAAGTAGCAGGAATACCAACAATAATAGAAGTTGAAATGAAAACAGCGATACTGTTCCAGCAACAATGCTGAAGATAGAAAGACCACTGGTAAGGGCAATGACAGTGTTTGCAGCAATTACAAAATCGTATGGATAGCAGCAATAGATGTAATAGTAGTGGGAATATAATAGTACTGATAATCATCTTCAATTTAAATGTTACTAGTAATAGCAGTAGAAATCCTTGCTTTGGGGCCTGCATTTTGCTAAGCCTCAAGAAGTGAAGGTTACGCACAGCATTGCAGCACAAGCACGTGCTCACTCATGGTCTAGTTTTTTGCTGTGCATAATCAGACGTCAAAGGGCCATCAAGATCCTTTCGAAAGGAAGTACTAAGGGAGGCCCAGGAGCCTAGGCTCCGGCCCTGCACCACAAAGCTACCCAATGACATCGTTTATGTTTTGTAACTTCCTACATCGTCCAAGGGTGGGCACGAGGTCGCATGCTTTGGGCATTTTGGCTCTCGAACGGCAGAGGAGGCCTGCTGCTTCACTGGATCGGCAAAGTCCGAATTTCTCCAGAACCGATAACACGATCTTCTCGGCGCAAGCTCCGGCTCCGCTGTACTGTGCCTGACGGCTCTCACGACTTTCATGCTACCCAGTGCATGCACACAGCATGCAAGCGAAACCTGATTGATTCGCCAGAAGAATACGCCGCCAGATTCTGTCTTCCTGTCAAATACCGGAACTCAACCTGATCACGAACTCTGATGACAACTCCTCGTAGGCGAGCGGGAGCGCATGACTTCGGCACATTCATTGCAAGGACCACGTTCACGTTCGGACGAAGCAACATTACAACAAGTCCATGCCAGGAGCCGACTGGACGTTTCACGTGCCAAGCTCCAAGCTCATCGTAATCGCTGAAACAGCTGAAACATCGCCGAACCGTGTATACGTGGTTATCTGTACGCGGTAGATGCTCATTTTCGGGAACCATCGCTACAAGACTCCGCTCTGAAGTAAGCACGCATAGCTTCCAGCGCCTGAGCCATGTTACACCGGCCGGGGCAATGGGGTATATGTTGGCAGCTTGGCAAGGATTTCACAAGCCCAACCGCGCTCTCTTTTGTTGACACCGATTTCTGGTGTTCAGGGCACGCGAGAGAGTTAGGCCGGATGGGCACAGAGCTTCAACTTTACTATTACTTTTCCACATTTGACACACTCGATCACACTCGCCTGCTGCTTTTCAGGCAGCGAAGATATGAAACGTTACTTAAGTCTTAAGTTACTCACTGGAGACTACGGCAGATCAGGAGTTCGTAACAGCTTTTCAAGTCGGCCCAACACTCCTTTTGGAGTGCCCGGAGGATGCAGTAGGCGGTGCAGAATGTCTGCCCGTAACACAACGGCGCTTGACTAGTTTGAGTCTTTGATGCCCTCGCCGGTCAATGCTCATTGCTGACTGCAAAAGGACGCACAGGGCAACTGCACGAGCCATGTGGATCCTAGGTGGGGTCAGACTGAGCAGTGTTGGCCCTATATGGCCGTGTCTGAAGATTTCGAAATAAATTGACGTGTTGGAGTGCGGGTCTCAAGTACGAGTACTCCATCCCACATGATGTTGCAATACCCCACTGCCACCAGTACGTAAGCAGCACTTTGCAGTGCCACCAGTACGCAGGCGGCACTTTGCAGTAAGTCATGCCAAAAACACCACAAAGAAAATCACGAAAAATATCAGAATCAGGAAGACCTTGATGATGAGAGCACCTTGGCGCAAGTGCCACGGCGACAACATGCCCTAAGGGGTCTTCATGCAGGCCAGGCACGGTTCGAAGATATGTAGTGGAAATACTCAAGCAAGTTGTCCTGATCAACACAGCACTGACGGAATTGATTTGACAAGCGGGGGGGGCGAAGCGAGAAGCGATCCTGGGCTTTCTTTGTGTTGTCCAGGGTATCGTCCAGGTCACTGTCGATCCGCTGGATCATCTCTTCTTGAGCAGTCACCATTACGGCCATCCTGAAGTACATCCGCAATACAACAAGGATTCAATAGCTGGCTCGATCGCCTGAAGCCTGGGAGTCAGTCCCTCGTGGCTCGTTGCGAGGCGAGTATCTTCTGAAACATTTGTGCCAACTCACCGATGGTCTTCTGAACACTTTGCACCGCCTCTGCCCTGGAGTTGTGGTAACCTCATGCATCACAGCTTAAACAGCCAGCACGAGTGTAAGATGTCTTCGTGCCTTGCTGCATTGACATCGCACGCGCACCACCGCCGCCCTCCAAGTCTTCTGGGTTGCCAGCTGGTGTCGGCCTACCAGCATGGAACGATTCACGCGCTATTTCGCTGCCCGACTGTGCCTCTGCCGACCGGCATCGAATCCCGCCCCAGAGGTGTACATCTGTCTCCTTTTGTCCTGGCACTCAACATGCAGCTCGGCCCTCTTCGTCCATTCCAACCCATTTCGGGACAAAGCTCGTGCTCCTAAACTTGGCTTGAAGTGAAACAATCCTAATGCAGGCTTGGACCAGCATCGTGGCACTTCTCAGTGACAGTTAGCAAGTTTGACCCAAATCTTAGGCCTTAGGCTTTGCCAGGCTTTGCTCCCTACAAGAGTTCTGAAAATTTTCGGGGCAGAAGCGGCGATGGAACAAACAATGCATCTCACCTGCTGCTCCAACGCCTTCGTGCGGTCCTGACAGGCCAAAGGTCTTTCAAGTTGCTTCGTCAGCGCATGTTACCGGCCGCACATGGGGTCCTCCAGCGCATCTTTAAACTCTTTGGTCACTTGCAGCAGCCTCCGAGTTATGACAGGAATCGAACCAACCCGACCAAGCCGAAAGAACTCAGCAGGATAATCCAGGCTCAGAATTTAGAAACTTGAGATGAAGCAACATCCTCCCTCCCTGTGTGCATCCATGTCCCTGACGCTAGCCGCTAACCGGGTTCACATACTGTGGGCGAGGCCTGAAGCCGATGGAGCTCAGCGCAAAAATGTTGAACATACTAGATCGAGCGTCATACACCTCAGGAATCTGCTGTCTTTTCTCCATACTTCACTCCACCACATGCCCTGGTTCCAACGTCTGCAGCTGTCTGCAGTTCGGTTCTTGTCATAATGTCAGGCAAGGTTTGCTTGAAGTGTTGAAGTTGCCTGCGTGATCAATGCATCAGCCAGTAGCAAGAGAACAGAAGGCAACCTCGCCCCATCTAGTCATCTTGGTACATCGGGGACAGTTTCGATGGCAGGACACTGTAGGGTATCGTTCCTCAAGTGCTTATTCTGGAGCTGAGTTGCTCTGTGCAACTCTGCCAGTACAGAAAACCACGAAATGCAGGCCCATGTTTCGCACATTCGATGTACACATAATGACGTAGGGTACGATGCCCTGGCGGTGTGTTTTGGCCGAAAATACAGATGGCGGTGCGGCGGTGCAAAGACCACAGTAGCTGCACATAGCTGCACCGAGCAGCCATCGAGACGCATGTCGAACCGAGATGCTTTGGCCCAAAGAAAGGGTGCTTCTACCGTAAACCTGCCAAGCCGACACCCTCCAGCGTCCTAGCGCCTCTATTGCACGCCCAGAGACCTAGAGTCCTAGAGGTTTGCCTCGTCCCTTTCGCACATTTACTGCCGTGGCGAAGGCCAGCCAAACAACGCTGGTTGTTTGGGCGCTTCCAGGCTTGATGTGCGACTCCAGTGAAGCCGTTGCTGCCTAGCTCTGGTTGTGGACCTGCAGAATCGGCAGACTGTTCCCCACGACCAAGGAAAACTTTCAGGAGACGCTTTTGTTCCCGTTGACGAGCTCTTCAAGCTCCAGATCGTATTGCCGATTGCCCTGCATTTGTGAGAGCCTGCCTTCTTCTTTCAGACATACTGGCAACATCTGCAAGAAAGACGCCCGATGAACAAACGTCACACTTTGCAGCAGTACCACTAACACTCTAAAAGCTTGGCAACAGTCAGACCCAAGCCATCACCACCACCCCTCAGGTCAAGTCCGAACCTCGAAGTGAATAACCTCCACCCAAAACTTACAGCGACCTGGTCTTGAGCGCATCCACCAATGCGGAAGAGTGTGCTTGGTAGCTCTTGTTCGGCCTCAGATCTTGTTACGTATCAGAGCTTGGAAAGGGGAAGGCCTTGGCGATAGCTGGCTCATGCTTTACGTACAGAGTGTCCAGGAAATTGCCGTCATCATACTGATGCATGCAGGCTCAAGATGTAGGACAAGGCATAATTTGGCAATGATCAGGACGCTTTCTCATCATGTTTGTGCCACGACACTTGGCCCTGACTTGCGTCTCGCCTGCTCTCGCAAAAACTGCACTTGGGGCTGGGGCCCTTGCCCAGAGCCCTTTGTTTTCATCTCGAGCGCTTCGATTTTCTGATTTAGCAGCTGAATGCTCTGCTTCACGGTGTGGGTCAGCTCCTGCAAGCATATTCCAGTTATGCGATGGGTTGACTGTGGGGGGTGGTGAGCGCTCTGTTGCCTCTCACGGACAGACTGTAGACGTTTCAGTCTATTCCTCTAGGGTTATTAGGACCTGGATTTGGTTGGTCTTGTCGTTGAAGATGCCCTTCTGCTTGGACATCTTCCTGCAGTGGCAGTTTTGCATGAAGCCTGAGATTCACGAACCCTGCTTGCAGCGCTTGCCTCAGCTCGGCCACCTTGAGGGAGGCGTCGTGGATTTCCCCGCCAATTTCAGCGGACCACCGGTTCAGTTCTGACCTTGCAAACAGCGCAGTTACCCAAAGGTGCAGCTCATGTGGAAACTTGGCACCGGGCTGAGCATGAGGTGTCATCTCCAAGTTCAAGCCTTCAGCAAGGGTGACATGCGCATTCCTGCGCCGTTGGCATCTCAAAGAACCCCGAACCTTTTTTGCTTCAACAGCGAGCTTTTCTGAGGCTGGCTTCTCGCGGTCACGAGGACCCATGCAGAGTCAATGCCTGGCGTTCCGCTCTTGGCAGCGGCGTCTCGCAGGATTTGCCTGTTCAGGTGCAAGGTTCCGTCGCAACTACAAAACCAACAACGCCAACACCTGCAATAAATGCATGCTATGTGTTGACACGCTGGACGTCAAACCATGTCAACTGCGCTGAAGCTGCTCTGCCTGAACTCATCGGTCCTGTCCACGACCTGGGCAGTATTTTTTTGGTATATGTGAGGACGAAAAACAACAGCATCATGCTAGATATTTTAAGGATCCTAGAACTGGGCAGCTCACACCCATGTCGCCACTGTGTTGACCGGCAAGGCCTCGGCAGAGAAGCTGGTTTCACCGACAAGGAGCCAGCCATCTTTCTCGTGAATATCTGCTTGTATCAGGCTACGGCTACGGCCCAAACAACCCCAAACGTCCCGCCATCAACATCGTCTTCATGCACCACGCCCTACTATTCCCACCTGCGAGAGACTGACGTGCTTGGTTGCAGGCCGGCCCGGCCAGGGCAAGCGTCAAGCCCAGGGCCCGGCCCGTCACTACGCTCTTGGAGCCAACACGGATCCCCCAAGCCCCGCTTAGGCAGGAAAAGCTACCGTCGTTGCCAAACATTGTTCAAGCTGGAAGGACTGGCAAGTCGACAACTCACGAAGCTTGGCCTTTCTTTTGCTTGCGCGAAGGGGTCGGGGAGCGGGATTCCTTAAGAACACATCAGCGGAGACGTCGTGGAATGAGGTGCTGGTTGCAATGACACTGCTCAAGCTTCCAGATGTCGCTGCTCTTGTTCTATATAGCGTCGGCAAACGTTCTGCGGTCCTAAGTTCTCGTTGCAACTCACTAGAAACCCCATAAGCTTGGAAGAGGTCTAGACTCTTAGACCAGTCTACCAACGCATCTCAGAAACTCACCAGCCTTCCAGGGAGATGGACTACCTGGCGAGAAGGAATCTCTTAGTTGTGTCCAGGCAAAGACGGAGCCTTTGCCCCATTCGTAACTCTGAACTCTTGACTTTGTCAGAAGAGGCATCTGCAGACAAGGCGCCTACCACGGATTGCAGCATACTGTGCAAAGCCACGTCTTCTGGCCTCGACATGGTTTCAGTTCCAGCACAATGAGGTTACGACTTCTGCGCAAGATGAGCTGCCAATACCACGATGGAGATTAAGTGTCGATCCGCACGAGGGAAGGCCTCATTCTCGTCGAAAGGGTTTGCCTGAGCACTTGACAAATCTGAAATTCAAACCTGCCATGCAGACAGGTAGCTTTGAGAGCCCTTGATTGGGTAAGAGAGTGATATGCCCCTTTTCGTGATAAGAATCGAAAATCCGACTCTCGCAGTGGTGGCGGGGGCAAACCCACTCGCGGCGGATTCTCGCACGGGCTGATGCGTGCACCAGACGTGCAGCGTGCGCTGTGCAGGGTTTGGACCCTAAACACGCTTAAAGTGGACCAACCTACCAACCTTGAACTGAAAAGGCAGGATGCACGCACCCGTAATTTCAAAACACTACAGAGGCCTGAAACCTACAATGCTCCACCGATACCACAAATCACCTTTCCCAGGAACCACAAACTCAGGAATGACCGGTTAAAGGGCCCGTGCGCGACAGGTGCTTTAATATCTTTAATAAATGCCTTGAAAGCTCTCTCACTGTACCTTCCCAACTTCTCTACAGGCCCGCTACTGGATGCATACTCGCCCTATTCCAACATGCCAATGGCGCCTCACCAAGTGGGATGAGCTCGCTGTCTTTCTGCGACTGTGCCTTCGAAACACGAACACAAACTGCATACACGAGCATGAACTGGCATGTCCAGGCGTCGGAAGATTACTGGAAAAAATACCCATGCTGACCAAAATGGCTTCACCTCGACACAGTTGGAGAGCGGCAATACATTTGAGTGCATCATCTGGTGGGCACTACCACCCGGCATTTTGCTTAAATTCCGAAACCTTGCTTGACACGCACCCTGAAAACGAAGAGCTGAAACCATTTCTCCGTCATCGCAGGTAGGTGTCTGGCCCACTTGGCTGCCACATTGTAACTTCGCTCGCGCCGCTTCTGAGCCTCCTGAAAGAAAGGCTCTAGGGCTGCTTGAAAGCTATTCAACAAAACCCAGGTCCCTAGGTCTTAACCTTACACGTTCCAGGAATGCAAGACTACATTGACCACACCTACTTACGCAGCAAGAAGCATCTGCACAACATGCAGATTCAGCTATAATGCATCACCTAATCAGGGCTGCATGCTGTTGTACACAAGCATCTGAGGCAGCATCTGCACGTCTTTGCGCGACCTTGACGCAATCGGACAATCACAGTATTGTCAATCACTCACGCAACATGCAACAACCTGACACGTTGCCTCCTCCTCAGCTGTGAGCTCGCGGACAGCAGGCCTGGCAGTGTTCGCTCATGGTAAGAAGGTTCGGGAGCCACAACAATCGCATCGGTCAACTGCGAGTTCGACGGCCGTCAGAGAAGCCAAAACTTCAAATCAATTGCAAGCGAGCTCTTCAGCGAGTTCAAGGCGCGGGCTTTTCAGGAGCTGAGGATGCCTTGTCGCAGCTCGGGAAACTGCAAAGTTTCTGTCAAAGGTCATCTTGCTTCTGTCCAGATCGGACGGTACTCACAAAAATGTCGAACAAGTTGCCCTTAGCAAGATACAAGAAGTGACTTTTGGCTGTCAAAAACTACTTATGCAGGCATGTACATATATACCTGCATACATACATTCCTACATACATTCCTACATGCATACATATATACGTACCATACATGCGTTCAGAATGAATGCATTTATACATCTATACGTCTATACTACGTCTATACATCTATGCAAATATACATATGTACATATGTATGTATATACGCACAAATAATCACAAATAGTTAGATACACATACAAATCAATCGATGTCTACATCCATCCATACATACATAATTTGCTCCATTCGGTTTGCGATAGCGTCTTGATCAGACGCACGCCTGGCACACGAATTCAAGTGCAACAAGGGAGGAAGTTAGCACAGAGATCTGAGTCCAGACTGGCCGCAGACAAACCCGTGAGCGGACAGCCAAGATCGGAGAATTGGGAAAGGTGCCCAAAGTCCGGGGCATTCAAGCTCGACAGGGCGCTGCATCGCCTCAGCTACGCACTCAGCCAGAACTTGACACACGTCCTCGGTCCACGTGACTAGATCGGCAGCATCACGAAGTGGAACACTCGTGGGTTCGCTCAGCCGGACCACGTCTATACCTTCCTTTCGATGGTCTGTTGCCGAAGAGGGAATAAACATGTTAACTCGCGGCTGCTTCCGCGCAGATCCGTTTTCCATCCGGCGCAGCGAAAAGTCTGGAGTCGAAGGTGCTTTTTGCACCAGCTGCACAGCAGCAAGAAACTCCCGGGCGGGCGGGAGGGTCGAGATAAACTGCAGGACCCAAGTGAACATGTTTGTCATGTTAACTCGTGGCTGCTTCCGCGCAGATCCGTTTTCCATCCGGCTGGAGTCGAAGGTGCTCTTTGCACCAGCTGCACAGCAGCAAGAAGCTCCACCCGCCGACACCGGCCAACAGCGAAAAGACAGTCCAGAGGGCGTGGCAGCTAGTGCGCTGGGGAACATCGGAACAAGTGTGGAAGCAGAGCTGAAGCTGAAATAACGTTTTCTCGGGAGTGAGCTGGCAATCTCGGGAGAACCGACTCTGCAGAAACTTCCTGAAGGTAGTATGCCAGAGTCGACTGGTTCTGTAGCCGCATCCGACACTGGATGTCAGCAATCGGCATCCTTCTGCGATAGGCAGCGACCAGGCGCCCCCTCGGAGTGAGCCGGGAGTAAGTTTGAATCGAGCTGGAGTTTCAAGGGCGGCAAGATGCTGTCCCATCTCCTTTTGTAGATTCCTGGAATTCCAGGGAAAAGCAGCTCTCGCGATGGCAGCCTTTCCCACACGGAGCTGAGGAAGTCGGCGAACGCCTTTTCAAGCTCGACGGCAACATGTTGCACCCGAGCTCCGCGGCCTCGCGTCTTCGGCTCCCTGAAGACGAGGTAGAACCGCAGGTCCGTCTGTAGAAGGTCGCAGGGAGTGAGCAAGTCACGCCTGACGGAACCCAGTACTTCACCAATCCTGCAGCAGCCAAGAAAACAGAAAAAGGTAACAGCAGACCATCGGTGCCAGCCCCATGAAATCCCCAGCGAGACCATAGCCCATAGGATCGGCTCTGGCATCGGGGTCCTGTGCTGCGTTGGCTCGAGGCGCTCCCACTTGGATAGCACATCGTCCAGGCAGGCTGGAGACACCCTTTGACCCTTGGAACAAGATGCTGGCAATGCGCTAGGAGCTGCCGGAACTCTTGCAAAGAAGAACCCCTGTCGTACAGCCTCTGCCCATAGGAAAGCAGCACCTCAACAAGAAGGTCAGGGTGCTGGTACAAAGTGTCCCACAGATCTTCACCGCCATCCTCCTCGATCCAAGCAGAAAAGGCTCACCAAATACCAGCTCGAAGTTCGGCCGTCTTAGTAATTTTCGCGACGTCGCGTAGCTGAACAGCGGCGCGCCTCTTAGCCCCACGTCTCGGTCCAGGATTAGTGGCTTCTCCGATTCTTCAGGATCACACCTTGCACACCGAGCGAGGTCCAGCTGGCGAAACTCTCCCAGCCATCCCGCGTCCTGAGCGCAGGCTGAGGCGAGGAGCAAACGTAGGCGTCGGGGGCAGGCGAGCTTTGCGCAACTGACCCCAGATCGCTTGTCTCGACCTCGCAGTACGAGGTGGACGTGATCCCCACCACACCGCAGTCTTGCCCCAGAGAGCTGCCCGTTCGTCCTGAAGCGAGTCGCCTTCCGCCAGGGTGTTCCGAAAACGCAAAAGTCACAAAGCCTCCTGCGAGCGAGCTCTGGGCCGACTGCCCAATTGCCAAGATTCCGAAGGCAGCCCTGCGGAGGGGCCTCGTCGGGGTCAGCGAAGCGCTTGAGCTCTTTCGGAGGCCTCCTTCTCCGCGCGGGTTTTCGTGCACGGAGGAGTCAGTGGTCTGCGCCGAACGTGCCCAGCCTTCCCGGAGTCTACTAGGCTCCTTGCTCGAGTGATTCGGGAGGCTATGCCGGGCTTCGTCTTCAGTTCCCTGCCTGTGAGCCAGAACGTCAAGACCCTGCCCCACGTTGATAAGAATAACCTCTCCGGCGAGCCTAACATTGTTATCCCCCTTTCGAGATTCCGAGCGGGGTGGGTCCAGACCGACGGGGGCTCTGTGAGGCGCGCGCATAGAGGCTCCAGATTGCAGGGAGAGATGCTCCCAGCCAGTCAGCGAGTCACCTTCGAATTGGAGGTTGTGAGCGGCTTAGTCCAGAGCAACGGGATACTGCTTCTCAGCTAGGGTTTGTCTTGCCGCCTTCATGCGATCAGGGGCCTTTTACCTCCCTTTCTCCGGCTGGACTTGCCGAGCCAGCGCCTGCTGTCCGCGAGCCGGCCTCCTTTTCGGGCCTTTGGCAGCCTTGGGGTCCTTTGCGAATCGACCCTGCTAGCTTCTGCTCCGAACTCCGGGATCCGCTTACTCCCCCCTCTCGTGATGTCTTCGAGACCGCACTTCCGCCTCGACTTGGGCGCCCGCTCTCCGACAGAGACTGCCGCACGGCCGTCGAGATTTCCTCGGCTTTCCCTGATCTCCTCAGTGCCCTTTCCTCTGGGCCTGGGTGGCTCGACCTCTTTTCAGGGTCTCGGGGTTTTGCTAAGGCTTTAGCTGCTGCCGTGCCATGTTGGATCCTTTGCTTCGACACCTGCCATATGGCGAGGACGAAGATCTGTTACAGGTCGAGTTACAGGATCTCCTGCTGGGGCTTGTTGAGCGTGGGAACTTCGCTGGAGTCAGCGGCGGGCCGGTATGCTGCTCTTTTCTCATCTGTGATTACGCCGCCGTGGAGAACGAGAAGCCACCCTGAAGGTCTGCCCGATCTCCGGCCAGATCAATCAACGAGGCAAGGTGATCGCCGGGAACCTCATGCTCGAGTTCACCTTACGTGTCGTGTGCTTGGCCTCCCAGCGCGAGATTCTTTTCTGGGTCGAGAACCCTCAAGGCAGCTGGTTCTGGAAGCAGCCGGCCTGGAGAGCCTTTGTCGAGTTCTCTGGTGCCGGGGATTTTGAGCCGGGAAAGCTGGCTCGTGTGCAAACCCTGGCTTTCGAGAAACTTGTCAAGAGAGTTAAAATCTCCAAGCAAAGCGTCGCGGAGCCAAGGAGCGGGCTCTCTGTCCGGGGTCCTAAGAGTTTCGGCTCGGGTAGGGTCGTCAGAGATAGATTGAATGCACGCATAAGACGGCCGGACTCGGGAAGCCAAGTGGCCCGGAATGGAGCGACGCAACTCCTTGTTGATCGCTGGAGAGGCTGCACGCCCCTTCACAAAGGAGCCCAGCGAAACCTGGGAGTCCTGCAGGTGGACGTATCGATGTCAGGGAAGAGGGAGCTGGCTAGTGCGCTCCTCTCGACTTGAAAGAACTGCAGCGTCGAGCAAACCTCCTCCCAGAGAGGATGTGACGTATACACCTCGTCCGGCATGCCTTGGTCTTCTGGGAGCTCGCCCCGCTCTCCGGTAGGCTTGCATCGGAGAGAGAAGTCGGGCCCAGAGGCCCGCTGAAGGCCGTGGCAGCACAACTCGACAGAGAGGTGTTCCGGGATGCGAACACCGGCCGCTGCTTCGGCAGTAGATGATGCATCCGAGGTGATCAGGAAGGGCGAGCCCAGGGCCCGCAAGTCGACATCGACCTGGCTCATAAGAACGGCGCAGGCAAGAAGCTCATTACAGAGAAACCAGAAGAAAAGGCGCGCCGGTCGCGATGGCACTGCACAGCATAGACGGCATCGAGGATGCTGAGGAGCCGCCTCCGGAGCTGCAAGCCTGAAATCAAGCCCCCGGCGATCACCTCAAGCATCCCGACTGAAGTGACACCGCCCTGAACGACCCGAAGAATGAACTGGCTGAGGGCAGTGGTGCGCTTAGGGCTAGGACGAAGAATCCCGCTGACCCCATCAAGAACCCCACCCCAGAACTCGCCGGCAGGAGCTCGGGTAGTGGCTTTGCCCTCATGCCGCGGAAGCCCGGCGATATCCGTCAATGACAGCTTTCATCGTGCGGACGCCAGCCGGTTCGTAGCTGGGACATGGCAGGCTGCGCGGTACCGGGCCAAGTAAGATGAAATCATCTATGAGCAGGCCGGTGATCTGATTGCACGGCCGCGGCGGTCGGCCCTGAAGACTAATGAAATCACTAAGCTGCAGAGCCCATGTCCGGAGGAGAACCGACAGGTGGGAAGCTTGACCAAATGCCACGGCATTAAGGTCGCCCATAGCCATCGTCCTCAGACTTCTTGGGATAACCACGCAGCCCTGGAGCGCGGGAGCACGCCTTCAGGTGGGACACCTCGTCAAAGCTCAACTCCAAAGCAAAAACATTCCTCTTCGCTCGCCGCAGCCCCACAATGAAACTGTGATAAGATTCTTTGAGATCCTCAGTATGCTGTTCGGCTTGATTGGGTGGCCTCGCATCTAAGACCATACGATCACGCTGGCTATCCTTAGCCACAGAGAAAAGCCCACTTTGGAGCCTCGGGCGGACTTCCGAATTGTCGAAGAGGTGAAGTCGTCCGGTATCGTCAAGGAGCTGCAAAAGCTCGGCGGTTTGGCGTCGATCGGCCCTCACTGACACCTTCGAGACCTCCTCTTCATCTGGGATGTCCCTGGCAAAGTCAAGGGGACGTGCATAGGTAGCCCGGTTCCGCGAATCCAAGAAAGGCACCGGGTCGAAACTCGGGGTGCCGACGAAATTCAATCGGGACGGCTCGACCGGCAACACATTGCAAGGGGCAGCGTAGCTGAGCAAGTCTCAGCCTCGAGCTGGCAGGCAGCGAGCATGTCATGAAGCTTCGAACTCAGCAACTGCCCGGCCGAGGTCCTTGGCAGAGAAGGGCCCAGCCTCATTCCAAGCAGTGGTGCCGCCCCGAGACTTCCACAGCACGCCACTGTGCCTCGGTCAGGGGCTCGCGAAAAAGCCGATCGGAGGTGGCCCGACGGAGCAACAGGCTGCCCGAGAAAGAGCCAATTCAACACAAGAACGGTAGCATTAAGCCCCAGCTCTTCCGGATCCCTAATGCCGCCAGATCCGGGAAGCAGATGCCGAGGAAACGGCAATGGCATGGGCCACACAGCATGGCCAGCCAGTGCAAAAGAAGGCCCCCGCTCGCTGCGAGGTAAGAGCCGCATGAAATGGAAAAAGGAGGAAAGGGAGCACTTGCCTTGCGAAGACATTCGAAGAATTGTGACCAGAGCTCGGAGGGCAGAAATGTAGGAGCTCGGGCGCCGGGCCCAGCAGGAGGGCATTCCCCAGCCGCCGGACCATCAAATCTAGGAACAGGTTGGCTTGGCTGAAGATTTTCGTCGGCACAAGCATGAGCCTCGAGACCCGAACGATCAGTGCAGCCTTCATAGCCTGGCGCACAGAAAAGCTCAGGATCCTCGGGCAGGGACATGGATTGCGGCTCGAGGGGCGGCGCACACTCACAGGGCGGCGCCTGCACACGACATCCTAAACTACTTGAAAAAGAAACCGAAGGATTAGCCGATTAGCCTCAGGGTGGCCTAAACCAGACCTATTCCCCCCAGGAGGTGAGGGCTCGGGCCCTGAGCTCACGAGAGCTTGCAACAGGTTGGAGAAGGAGGTGGCGAAGCTGATCCAGGAGGCCGCCTGCAAGGGGCGACCATGATCCTTGGGTCGCCGCCCCTCCTTGTCAGGACTTCTCCCGCGCACGAGGGCGGCCGCGGCCGCCTGTTCCAAGACGCGTCTTCATGACGGGCGCCGCCTGGCCTTCCTCTTCGAGAACGTCGTCATGTCCCAGCTGGACGCCGCTGTTATCTGGACGCCTTGGGTGTGGAACCGGTCTGCTCATCCGACTTCGGGTGGGGCGTCCTCAATCTCCCCACGCCAGGAGCAGCTCCACGACTTGCCACGGCTTACACAGCCAAGCAGGGCGCGGACGCCAGAACCAGACACCGTATGCTGGGCAACGGCTGGCACTGGGGCGTCGCTGGGCGTCTTCTCGCCATCCTCGTCTGAGCGTACCTCGCGCGCCGAGCGCTTCCACCGTCCAGTGGCGCTGTGGCTGGGACTTCACTCCGCCCACCCCCCGTTCCTGGGCTGGGCTCTCCGAGGAGGAACATTGGAGGGCGGCGCCCGGATTCCGCCACTCGCTGACGGGACGTCACCGCCGTGCCTGGAACCGGTTCTGGAGAACCTACTCGAGTTCCGCTCCCGTTGGCGCCACGACATGGTCCGCATACGAGGGCAGGTCATCGAGGAGCTGGAGGGCATGGGTGGTCGACCTCCAGGATGAGACCGACGCGTGGTTGGACGGGCGGTATTCCAACCCAGCGCCCTCGACCGCCTGCGCCGGTGTCCCGTCTGGGGAGTTCGTGGTGCTTTAAACGTGGGGTCCAAAGGGAGTCGGGCACCAAGGCAAGGAAGCGATCCGCCAGCAACAGCGCTTGAGCAGCCGGCTCACAAGAAGCATAAAGAGCGGGCCGCCATGTCACTTGGAAGCCTCTTTCTCCTTCTCCTTGTCCTTGCCTCTCCCACCCCCTTTGGGCGGCTTTTTCGGCCCGCTGCCTCTAGGACGCCATCTCCAGGCGGCAGCGCCGGTGGAGGCTGACTGCTTCCACCTCCCAGGTCCTCTTCGCCGAGTGATCTGATATGCGCGTTTGGCGCGACTCCAGAGGGTCGAGTTGGCGGGGACGCTGAAAGCTGCTGAAGGACTGCGGGCTTTCCATCGAGAATTCGGCTGCTAAGAGCCAATTCCCACTGTCTATAGCGGATTGATCTAGAGCGGCGATCGCTAACAGCGCGGTGGCTTTCGCCTGTTCCGGCTGCCCAGCATTCAAAAGATCGACCACGGTGGACAATGTCCAGCCCTGCCGGATAGGGCCTGCGTAAGATTGGAGATGAGACCGGTGTTCCAGCCAACCTCGCACCGACAGCCTCCTCTCCTCCTGATGCGGTTTGGACTGAGCTCCCACGAAGTCGTCCAGCATGAGGGCTTCGATCGCCTGAGATCTGCTCCGGAGCAGTGCGGAGCAAACTCCGCAACTTCTGGTAAGCCGCCGCCTTGGATCGCCCTGAAGAACCTGCCCCGCCGGCCCCTTCGGAGCCACCGGCTTCCGCCCACTCGAGGGTGTCTTCGAGGTCGTTCTTCCGCTCCCGATCTTCTGCATGAACTTCAAGACCTGTCCGATCTGGACCAACCGAGACATTCGGACGAGCTGCTCCTCCGGCACACCTGCTTTGCGAGCTGCTTTTACACCGCCGGGCCCAATCCCGCTAGCAAAGGCCTCGCCGTAGAGGGCGAAGCCTGTCCCGCTATCGGCCCGACCCCCCACCACGCGGTGCGCTGGCCGGAGTGCTCAGAGAGGCCCCATCCAGCAGAGCTTGCATGCTGGCCTGCAACTGCCGCATTCCTGCCTCCAAGCCGGTTGGCGCTGCTCCCAAGACTCCTCGCCTTCGCCCAGCTGCTCCCGGCCACTTCTCGCAGCATCTTCTGCAGGGGTCGGGAAAGCTAAGTGCTCCGCCGCAACGCCGAGAGGGAAGGCCCGAACGGATCCAAACGCTCCGCAGATCGAGAACCAAAGCCCAAGAATTGCACATCTGGGGAGAGATCCCCATCGACAGCGAAGTCGACGTGACGCCTCGCACACCTTGAGCCGGACGCCCTCTCTCATCGTCCCGGGGTCCCCGTCGGCGGCAGCCAAGACCTCGGCCAGCACTGGCCGAGCAAGGGCCATTCGCGGGAGATAACGTCGCCCCGCCGTATACGATGCCATGCCGTCTGCGGAACTGCAACAAGGAAAGAGCCCTGGATCTCAGCGATGACAAAGTTCGATACAGCTGGCCCGTCCTCGCTCTGGATGCGAAGCTCTCCGATCTGGAATGATCACGAAGTGTCTGGAGGGCGAGAGGCTCCTCTCTACCACCTTCGTCCTCAAACCCGGCCAGGCTGGCCATCCAAGCCCACCGATGGCCAGGCTAAACCTGCCTCACGAAGAGCCACCGCCACCTCCGTCTGGCTTGGCAAGCCGACCAAAATCGACTGGCCTTTATCGGCACCTCGGATGCACAGGGCCTTCGCGCCATGGAAGGCAGAGAAGACGCAAGGCTCGGAGAAGCGCCGCCCCTCGAAGTCGGCGACGACGATGTAGTACTTTGAGCTCAGGCTCAAAGCACTGCGCCCTGAATTCTGAAGGTACCCGCCGTCAAGGGCCCTCCGAAGGAATGGGCCGACTTCAGCGGCCACTGCTGTGCGAAACAACGAGGTAGGTGGTCCTGGGCTCGCAGCGGACGAGTGATCAGGGAAGACTTCCTCTCCAAGAGAGGCGGCCAGGGAGAGATTCACTCCACCTGATCCTGGCCGATCCAGGCGGGAGAGATTGACTCCTCCTGAACCGGGTCGAGGGGAAGAAGCTCCGCCCCGAAAGAGACCTGATCCGGGGGAAGGAGTCGAAGGGCCGGGCAAGGGGTCAACCAACTCGAAGGCAGACTCCTCCTCCAAGGCCTGGACCCTAGCCTCCACGCACCTCCCCAATCTCACGCCGCAGTGACTGAAGTTCGAGGAGCCTGGCCTAGCACTCATTCAAGGACCCGGTAGAGCTCGGCCGCAGGGACCCGCAAACCCGCCTTGCGCCCCGGACGAGGAACAAGCGAGCTAGGAAGACCAAATCCAGGAGTGGCCACAGGAGCAGCCCAAGACAAAGGCCCACTGCAAAAGAAGCCCAGTGGAAGTGCGAAGGATGAGGGAGCAGCGGAGGGAGATCAAGGGAGTTCGACAGGAAAGCCTCAGGTTCTGGGGGCACGACCACAGACCCTGAACTCAGAAGAAAATCCCTCGCAACGGTCAGAAGAACCCCCCAACCCCACCAGAAGCACCCCCGGCTACAACCGGCAAGGGCCTCATTCAAACTCGAGATAAACTGCAGGACACAAGTGGACATGTTTGTCATACATAAATACGTACATATCATTCACACGTAGGTACATACATACATACAGTGCTACATACATACATACATACATACATGCCAGCATACATACATGCGTACATACATCTGATATGTACGCATGTACATACAGCATGTCTGCATGTACACTCACGTGATGGCGTCACCAGTGGTCTATGTGTGTAACTGTCTGCTTTCGGTTTATGATTGGTGATTGGCTGCTTGATTATCCATTTGTTTTTCTGTACGCCGTCTGTTCATTCCTTCGAGCTTTCTTTGGGCAAAAGCCTGCTACGCACAAGATGCAGTGTAACGAGATACAATCACGGCCTTCTGATGGAACTCAACACCCCCTGAAACTGCGCCGAACAGTCGCTGCACGTCTGTTGTTTCACATGCTTGAATTGCGTTAGTGTGGAGATGAACTTTCCAGGACTATAAGCAGAGGGAGTACTGGCACCTGAAGTTCGTCGTCAGGTGAACAAAACCACCAGTGCTCTTCGAACAGCCGAAAACTTCGGAAGCAACCCCAAGAGAAGTTGACATTTGTGACCCAGGACGGTTCAATTGCTTCACACTCCCAAGAACATGCTGCTTCACACCGATTCCTTCTTTCAGCAGGCAGCGGCAGGAGAGCTCCTCCATGGCTCTCTTTCCAGCCGTATTTGTTCTCAGATTTCAAAGGTGGTAGAGCCCTACATCCCCTCGCAAACAGGAATGGCCGCCTTCATGGTCCGACTTGGACAAGTCAAGCGGAGAAAGGAGACTTTTGAAGGCATTTGCAACATCACTACAGCCATGATGGGCTCCGCACTTTGGCCAAGCTGGTCTCTGCAGGGGCCTAGGCACCGAGCAGGCGCTTGCCGCCACTCGCGATAGCTGAGATGAGGGAGATGTCATGCCGAGAGAAGCGGAAACAAAGGCATGCATGGGACCTTTGCACGCACATGGTGGGATTTAATGCCCTTTAGGGGGAAGCGCATTGCAAATCCAGAAGTGCCCATGAGAAGAGCTATATTAACTACAGGCATCAATTCACGCGAAGGTGCCTCTACCGAATAACAGCGCAGATGTAGCTTGCAGCAGAAGCGAAATTCAATTTAATGAACAGGCCAATTTTACCCTCTCGACTGCAAACACTCGCCAACATCGAATTTGGCAGTGCCCACAAGTCGATGTCCCCAGCTGTCAACGTCTGCCCACTCTAAGCTCTGCCAGGGTGCCAGGATCGACATCGCCGCTGGCGCAGGTTCCCTGACTGCAGGTCGAGGTGCCAATTCCTGCACATGATTTCTGTTTCCAGAGGGGCGGCTGTAGCATGGTAGGTATTCGGCAGCGGTGTGTTGTCTCCGCAGTGCCAGGCTTGTAAGGCTCGAAACTCAGCTTCGAGCAAGGCTCTTCCCAGATGGCTAGCAAGACCAGGTTCCGCATCACTCTGCTGGGCTACACTACTGCAGCGACCCCACCCAGCTTTAGAACACGAAGGCATTACTTGCACTCTTGGATGTGGCGGTGGGCGGCATCTGTCCGACTTCGTCTAGTTAAACCTCTCTCCGAACCTGGTACCGAACAATAGTTAATTCTGCAATCTAACATGCAGGCAGGCAGGCACACAGCAGAATCTACGAAACCAAGGCGGCATGTCCTGCCACCTTGGCTGTGCCGCCTGCTTACGCTTTGGTGGCTGAAGAGGCCTCCAGAGAGGCAGCGACAATCTTGCTCGGAGCTGACTACGGCTAGGGCATTCCAGACGAGATGGTGGGTCGGTTTCACATTTATGCAAGACCCTCGATCGAAATGATCGGTACATAATGCACATTCTGATGGGTAAGCTCGCTCGGATCCACGCGTCGGCAATGTAGCAGACTTCATCTGGCTTTGGGGAATGTCTGCACCTCGGCAGGAGTGCCAACTTGCGGCGATGCATCCAGTCTAAGTCCTGTCTGAGTTTCAGACACATCTCCAATGCAGAATGCAGCTTAAAGCCTCGGCAAAACAGCAAGCACGTTTGGCAACCTGGCTCTGCGTTTTGCATCCTGTGTCAGGCTCTTCACGGTCATGAGTTGATCTTGCGAACCAGCCTTGTATCGACGATTCCGAATTTTCCTCTTACACCTGCTACTTTGTCTGCTGTCGTTCATACTGTTCACGTGCAATCTCTTGTAACTCATTTTGAACGACTGTCTCTGCAAACTCCAAGAGCTGCTCAGCGAATTCTCGCAGCAAGTTGTGCACACCTGATGCTTCTAACATCGTGATAACATGCTCCTCTTCGGAGGTCGTCGGAGCATCTGGAAAGAACCGATAGAAAAACGGCACTCTTGTGGCGGCAGGCCTTGGCTTTTTGTATATCCGCATCGGCATAGGGACTGGCCATATGACAGTACTCCGGCAATCAAAGCTATCCGCGTGAGCTTCGATATGCTGCATGGTGAGTGGCTCAGGGAGCTCAGTCCATGGTGGCTGAGCATCCTGAGGCACACATGCCCCCTCGTGAGCTTCAATACGCTGCGCAGTGAGGAGCTGAGCATCCCGAGGCACACATGCCCTTTTCTGCTGTGGCGTAGGAACTTTTAGCATGGCTTCCAAAAGCATCCTCTTACAAGAGGCACGCTCACGGGCAGCCTCTGCATCACAATATGCAGCTCGGCCACGCAGCTCTGCAACTCGTATTTCGTCCTTGTTCTCATACTCTGTGACTTGCAGCATCCGCTGCAAGTCCACATGCGAAAGCTCATCTGACATAACTAAAGACATGTCTCGAGAGCCACTTACGGACATAGCTTTGCGAACCACAAACGCCACGAGAACAGCCAAACATGTGAGCCCTCACAGCCACTCACGGACATAGCTTTGCGAACCACAAACGCCACGAAAGCAGCCAAACACGTGAGCCCTCACAGCCACTCACGGACATAGCTTTGCGCACCACAAACGCCACGAAAACAGCCAACATGTGAGCCCTCAGCCGCTGCCCGTCGCATCTAAATCTACTGACCAGGCTGCCGGTGAAGTCTTGAGGTCCGTGCGGGCCCGGATCAGGGGGCTTTGCAAGGGGTTTTACACCTCGCCTGCGCTTCATGCCGAGAGCCGCGCGTCTTGACGCTCGAATACCGCGCTGTTCATCAGAGATGCCAATGCCCTGACACTGCATATCTTGATCCGGGTGTCTGCCTGCATAAGTCCTGGCCTGGCTATATATTGCAGTCAGCACCCTCTGCTAGTCTTCCTTGTTGCCTCCTACTGGTCTACTGAGCTTCCCGTCTTCTGATGGTCGTCTTCTTTTACGAGGGCAGGCCTGCATCATCTCACTGCGGCGCTCGCGTGGTCACACTTACTGCACAGTTAGCAGTATTGGGAAGCGGGGTCAACACCCCCTTAACACCCAGCCACCGTCCACATCCATATTCCCATGGACAGTATGTGCAGCATGTTGGTCTGAAATTCACATGCTCACCGTGGAAGCTCCTCATGGACTAGCTCAGGTCTTACCAACATGACATGCAAGGTACAAGGACCTCCGGGCCGCTTGTCATAGCTGCCACCGAAGGCAGTCCTGTGCGAAGGGAGAAACTTGGCACGACCACTGCTGACGCTTGGAGATGCCATGCCCTGGCCTATCTGGTTGCGGGCCAGCACGTGCGTCAAGATGATACCCTTCTCCTGAATGCCAGTTTCAACCAGGTGAAAGCTTACGCCCGCGGCGAGCCCTGATTTCGGAAAACCAAAAATACTCATGACTCTAAGAACATTCTGGTCCGAGTGTATTGGGATTCTTGGCTTGCTGCAGCATCTTTCGCTTCTTGGGCAATCTCCGAGAGCCTTCTGTTCTGACTTCGAGATGCACCATGCAAGCTGTAAGCCGTAAGCCCCAGCGGGCCGGGTGCGCTAAGTGCTCAACCGGAGCATGCGAGGAATCCTTGGGGTCCCCATGCGTATGACAAGCTGCCCAGTAACAAGGGCAGAAAACGTGGATTTGAAGCCGCGGCAGCACAGTCGCTGCGGCACACGATGGCATCCATCCATCCAACCAGCCATCCATCCGTCCATCCATCCATCCATCCATACAGGCATCCATCCATCCATCCACCCATCCATCCACCCACCCAGCCACCCATCCACCCAGCCACCCAGCCACCCAGCCACCCAGCCACCCATCCATCCATCCATCCATCCATCCACGCATCCATCCATGCTTGCATGCAAGAATGCGTGCATGCGCGCGTATATACAGCAGACAGAGCCAGGCAGGCAGGCAGCCAGGCAGGCAAGCAGCCAGACAGCATACGTACAAATAGATAAAAGATATGCATATACATACACCTTCAACTATACCTAGACCACTTGCTGAACCTATGCCTATCGCTGTACCCAAGCTTATGCCAATACATTCACATATACATATACAAACGGGGTGCTGGGATTTTCACGGATCTATGTTCAGCATAGGCGTTGGGATTTTCATGAAGATGCAGGAGTGAAATCGGTAATAGAGACACATTTTTTTCAGACAGGTCCGAGAACATCGGGCATATACGAAGGCACCATCGGAAACCCTAAACCCCAAAAAACCAATCCTTAAACCCTTTCCTTTGCCTTCAGCAAGGGAAAATACCATTAAAAGTGACACAAGAACGAAAGAGGTTTCGCTATGCATTTTGACTCGCCATGTAAATGCACATACTCTCGTAGTCCCCTACATCAGCAGGATGAAAGTTTTGCCGCACTAAGATGTCTTTGCTTGGCGGAGGACTCGGAGTACGAAGAAGTGCATTTTACGTGGCCTGGCTAGCGGAGGAATTTCCATGCTAAAATGAACATACAGTGTTTTTTTGTTCCGACGGAGGAATTAGTGACGTCCTTGCCAAACATCGCGACTTCGTGAAGGAGTCTATGGGGGAAAGGGGTTTGCGAGTATGTGTTAGCAGACCTACCGGATGCGACGAACTTTCGTCCTGGCGCAGCATGAATTCCAAGACCGCTAGTTTGGCCAGGCCAGCATGTGTCACACGGAGGAGGTTTTTGGGACGGGGCATGAATTCCAAGACCGCTAGTTCGGCCAGGCCAGCATGTGTCACACGGAGGAGGTTTTTTGGACGGGTGCCTACTCGTTTTTTTAGTCGCGGGTGAGCAGCATGAATTCCAAGACCGCTAGTTCGGCCAGGCCAGCATGTGTCACACGGAGGAGGTTTTTTGGACGGGGCATGAATTCCAAGACCGCTAGTTCGGCCAGGCCAGCATGTGTCACACGGAGGAGGTTTTTTGGACGGGTGCCTACTCGTTTTTAGTGGCGGGCGAGCATCAGCAGGATGAAAGTTTTGTCGCACTAAGATGTCTTTGCTTGGCGGAGGACTCGGAGTACGAAGAAGTGCATTTTACGTGGCCTGGCTAGCGGAGGAATTTCCATGCCAAAATGAACATGGAAAGGGGTTTGCGAGTATGTGTTAGCAGACCTACCGGATGCGACGAACTTTCGTCCTGGCGCAGCATGAATTCCAAGACCGCTAGTTTGGCCAGGCCAGCATGTGTCACACGGAGGAGGTTTTTTGGACGGGGCATGAATTCCAAGACCGCTAGTTCGGCCAGGCCAGCGTGTGTCACACGGAGGAGGTTTTTTGGACAAGACCGCTAGTTTGGCCAGGCCAGCATGTGTCACACGGAGGAGGTTTTTGGGACGGGGCATGAATTCCAAGACCGCTAGTTCGGCCAGGCCAGCATGTGTCACACGGAAGAGGTTTTTTGGACGGGTGCCTACTCGTTTTTAGTCGCGGGTGAGCAGCATGAATTCCAAGACCGCTAGTTCGGCCAGGCCAGCATGTGTCACACGGAGGAGGTTTTTTGGGACGGGGCATGAATTCCAAGACCGCTAGTTCGGCCAGGCCAGCATGTGTCACACGGAGGAAGTTTTTTGGACGGTGCCTACTCGTTTTTAGTCGCGGGCGAGCAGCATGAATTCCAAGACCGCTAGTTTGGCCAGGCCAGCATGTGTCACACGGAGGAGGTTTTTTGGACGGGGCACGAGCATGAATTCCAAGACCGCTAGTTTGGCCAGGCCAGCATGTGTCACACGGAGGAGGTTTTTTGGACGGGGCATGAATTCCAAGACCGCTAGTTCGGCCAGGCCAGCATGTGTCACACGGAGGAGGTTTTTTGGACGGGTGCCTACTCGTTTTTAGTCGCGGGCGAGCATCAGCAGGATGAAAGTTTTGTCGCACTAAGATGTCTTTGCTTGGCGGAGGACTCGGAGTACGAAGAAGTGCATTTTACGTGGCCTGGCTAGCGGAGGAATTTCCATGCCAAAATGAACATACACTGTTTTTTTGTTCCGACGGAGGAATTAGTGACGTCCTTGCCAAACATCGCGACTTCGTGAAGGAGTCTATGGGGGAAAGGGGTTTGCGAGTATGTGTTAGCAGACCTACCGGATGCGACGAACTTTCGTCCTGGCGCAGCATGAATTCCAAGACCGCTAGTTTGGCCAGGCCAGCATGTGTCACACGGAGGAGGTTTTTGGACGGGGCATGAATTCCAAGACCGCTAGTTCGGCCAGGCCAGCATGTGTCACACGGAGGAGGTTTTTTGGACGGGTGCCTACTCGTTTTTAGTCGCGGGTGAGCAGCATGAATTCCAAGACCGCTAGTTCGGCCAGGCCAGCATGTGTCACACGGAGGAGGTTTTTTGGACGGGTGCCTACTCGTTTTTTTTGTCGCGGGTGAGCAGCATGAATTCCAAGACCGCTAGTTCGGCCAGGCCAGCATGTGTCACACGGAGGAGGTTTTTTGGACGGGTGCGTGCTCGTTTTTAGTCGCGGGCGAGGAGCATGAATTCCAAGACCGCTAGTTTGGCCAGGCCAGCATGTGTCACACGGAGGAGGTTTTTGGGACGGGGCATGAATTCCAAGACCGCTAGTTCGGCCAGGCCAGCATGTGTCACACGGAGGAGGTTTTTTGGACGGGTACCTACTCGTTTTTAATCGCGGGTGAGCCGCATGAATTCCAAGACCGCTAGTTTGGCCAGGCCAGCATGTGTCACACGGAGGAGGTTTTTTGGACGGGGCATGAATTCCAAGACCGCTAGTTCGGCCAGGCCAGCATGTGTCACACGGAGGAGGTTTTTTGGACGGGTGCCTACTCGTTTTTAGTCGCGGGCGAGCAGCATGAATTCCAAGACCGCTAGTTTGGCTAGGCCAGCATGTGTCACACGGAGGAGGTTTTTGGGACGGGGCATGAATTCCAAGACCGCTAGTTCGGCCAGGCCAGCATGTGTCACACGGAGGAGGTTTTTTGGACGGGTGCCTACTCGTTTTTTTTGTCGCGGGTGAGCAGCATGAATTCCAAGACCGCTAGTTCGGCCAGGCCAGCATGTGTCACACGGAGGAGGTTTTTTGGACGGGTGCCTACTCGTTATTAGTCGCGGGTGAGCAGCATGAATTCCAAGACCGCTAGTTCGGCCAGGCCAGCATGTGTCACACGGAGGAGGTTTTTTGGGACGGGGCATGAATTCCAAGACCGCTAGTTCGGCCAGGCCAGCATGTGTCACACGGAGGAGGTTTTTTGGACGGGTGCCTACTCGTGTTTAGTCGCGGGCGAGCAGCATGAATTCCAAGACCGCTAGTTTGGACCAGCTAGCCCAGCATGTGTCACACGGAGGAGGTTTTTGGGACGGGGCATGAATTCCAAGACCGCTAGTTCGGCCAGGCCAGCATGTGTCACACGGAGGAGGTTTTTTGTCGACGCGGTGCCATGACTCGGGGCATG